CAGAGATGGAGATTGTTTTGGTGGGGCAGGGACTGAGACGGGGATTAATAGGAATCCCCAATTAGGGTTGGGTCGGGATGGGAATTGAGGTCCCCCCCCTGCCAAGAATATATATATATATATATATATATATATATATATATATATATATATATATTGTTGATGTGATGAGGGAGATCTGTGGTCCGAGGTCCGATATCCGCTGTGTCCGGTACCCAGGGTGGATGAGAATCCCAATATCGATTCTACAGGGAAGGAGAATGTTAGAGGCCTTGGATGAATACCCGAGGTGAGGACTCTGATGGTCAAGTTAGCAAGAGGGTACAAGGTGGACGAAGTCTAAGATGAGAACACCCAGACGAGGTCACAAGAGAGCAAGTAATCTCAAGAGTGAGCTAGAGAGTTGGAGTATTTGATCCTTTACTTGGAAGGGGTTACCTCCTATTTATACTTGAGGCCACCAAGGGGCAGGTGACCTCGGACAGCCTAGATGCAGTTCGTACCAAGGGCACGATCATCTGGGAGTGCCAGGTGAGGGCATGCAATTGGCTCTGCAAGGCTTGCCAAGCCCAGCCTAGTATGCACCTTGATTGGTCCAACGCGAGGTGCTGACTTCAGCTTTACCCACGACCCGATTGGTTCCACTCTGTGCTTCGCCGCTTGACGCGTGTAGGCTCACCATTGGCCCAGGTGGGGGCCCGAGATAGAAGGGGCCTCAATTTCGGCCGAAGGGAGTGCATTGTCTCGTACTAGGAGGCATCGATGGACATGTGCGCATCGTGGCCTATGGTGGCGTTAGTATGCCTTTGAATTGTGAGGATGACCGAAGCTAATGCAGGGCCTCGACTCAGTTGCACCTGTAGAGGGGGGCCATGGCTTCGGCTCTAAGTTTTCTATGGCGCAAGGTGGGCGAAAGGGAGGTTTGCCCCCTAGTCTTGTGAATGTTGGGTGCATCTCGCGAGGCCTTGTCTTCGGCTAAGGGTGCCGAGGAGGAAGCACAAGGGTACCCGAGCTGGTGACTTGGTTGCTTTGTAAGGGAGTCTCTTTATGCAGTGTCGTGGGTCATGAAGAAAGTAGTTCCCGGAGCCAGATACGGGTCACATTGGTCGGGAGTCCCCGAATAGGCGAGTTGGGGGCCGAGTCCTCAACAGGTTGCTGAGTAATTGCCGTAGGGAAAATGGGACACGAGTGAACCAGACCACGGTTATGCTAAGTCAACACGGTTGGGCTGACTAGTGAGTCACAGTGAGGAGGTGCTTTGGTTTGCCAAACATCGTTTCATCTACCCGAGGTAGGCCACGCGTGTCGGTCAGCGGATAGGCATCAAAGGTGGTTGTTCATCAGTCGTTGGATCCCGCGTGATCTGGGCCATCCATTTTTCTTTAAATAGGGGCCTCGGCTTCGGCCATCACTTGTTCACTAGTGCCTTTGCTTCCAAGAGTTTCTTGCTTCCCTAGAGCCCTCGGTTTCAGTTGCTCGCCTTCATCTCTTTCGTCCTCGTCTTCTTGCGTTTTGTTTGGTGCTATTTTCTTGTAGAGATGCATGTGGATGCCAAAAGACTGCTACTAGAGAGTGCCTTGACCAGGAAGAATGGCCAAGTAGAGGACATCTCGGGGGGGCAGACTCCGAGGAGAGTGGTTGTGGTACCACCACAAGGGTGGAGAAGGGGTCCACGCCCGCCAGAGGGACCCCATGTCCATAGGCCCCTGCTGGTGGGGCCAACAGAGGGAAGAAGAAGGCCGAGAAGGATTAGCCAAAGAAGACTAGCTAGAAAAGGCCAACCAAGGTGCCACCAGCACCTCCCGCAAAGAGGCATGTGCACAGGGACAGCCCAGCCAAGGGCGGTGTGCCGAGGAAAGGGGCTCCTACTACTCCGAGTAGACTGCCTGCGAAGGGCTTGCTGCTAGGCCCTCATTTTCTCCTCCCTCCACTTCCAAGCCCAACAAGGGGGGAGCGCCTGAACTGTCTCCACTACCCAAAGTGGGGCGTCCGCGAGGGGGACTCCATTGATACCGAGGGAATCGACACAGCCCTTGTCAAGGGGATGGTCCCTCCGGGGGACCGCTTAGACATGATGCAGACAGACCCCATTGCCATCGTCGACGAGGGGATGGACTTCTTGGCCGAGGTGAGTTTCCTTCTCTTTTTGACGTGCTGCTTGCTAGCTTTTATTGTCTTTACTAATGGTGTGCTTGGTGCAGGTCTGCCGTCACTATGTCAGCCTCGATGATTGCCTCCGCCTCCTTCTCGAGCATGCGACTCGACTTGAGAAGAAGAATAAACAGCTTCAGGTGTGGGTGGCTTCAACGAAGTGCAACCTAGACGAGACCCTCATGTTGTTGAAAGAGGAGAAGCTGCTCCGATAGACGCTGAAAGATGACTTAAATGCCGAGAAGGCTCTCATCGCTAGAGCTGAGGACCGATTAAGGAGGTCAAAGGCTGAGGTTGAGGCAAAATACTGAGATGCTATCGTTGTTTGACAACAGACACTGGAGTACCAACAGTACCTGGGCGCACTATAGATCCGCAACCTACTTGGAGGGGATTGACGACACCAAGAAGGCTCTTTTGAAGATGGTGCCAGACTTTCCCATTGACCAGTTGCAGGTGCTCCTTGACTCTCTCGTCCTCGGAGGACAAGGCTGAAGTTCCCACCAAAGTTGCAGACGCAAGCATTGAGGATCCTACCATTCCTCCAACCGAGGGCGAGGCCTAGCCGACTTTAGTTCTTGTTTCTATCTCTGTTATAAATGTGCTTGGCCTTGAATGCCAAAAATTTTATAAGTTGAGTTGTGAAGGGGAATGAGAACTTTTTGTATACTTTGTGCCTTTGTCTTTCTTTTCTTCTTCCTCTTTCTCTTTTTTTATCGAGTGGTCTATGCCCCTTCCCTTTCAAATGTTACAAGTAGACAAAAAATAATCCAAAGTGGCTCGTTAGACGTTCGCTTTAGAAAGTTAGCCTGACACTTATTCCCTTAGACGAGGCCGAGGTGGACCTTCGAGGTGATTGAGGTCACGTGCCAAGGTGAACCGTCGGGACGGTCAGGGTTACTATCCTCTTTCCCTTGCCGCGCTATTGTGGAGCCAAGGTGGCTGCCTGCTACCGAAGAGGTCCCCAAGTTGTGTATCTTATGCCTTTTTGCGGTTGCATTTCTTCTTGTGTTTCATGTAGGGGTCGGTACCCCCTTCCGAAAGGTCACAAGTTGCAAAAATTCATCGTTCAATAACCCATATGCTCAATTGCCCAGGTAGGTAAGGCCAAGGCCCAGCTTCGCCGCCAAAAATCCGGGACCCCCTTCCTTAGTGAAGAGAGGGAGGCACACGCCATTTCTGTCCTGGCTACCCATCTTATGGGGAATAGGGCACATGAAACCGCATCTAGCCAGGGCTGCGTAGAGCTCATCCGGTGCCATGGACTGCACTGGTCTCAACAAGGTGGTGTTGTCGCCTTCAGCATGTCTGTTCTACCATGAATTGAGTTGAGCAGTGGGTCGATGCCACTTCTTGATCTTGGATGAGGACTCACTCATTTGGAGGGTCTCTCCGAGGTTGAAGCCAAAATTAAGGGCTGACTCGTTAGTTGCAGTTGAGGTCCAATAGGTTCCCTCTCAGAAGGGATGAGCAAGAGTGTGACCTCCAGCGGGCCATATGCCTTGGGCCGACGTCTGGTCTAAGTGTATAACCTTGGCAAAGGTTGTATACCGTGGCCAGGCTGTATAGCAAGGTGGGGGACCTGGCGACTAGGCGTACTACCTCCTAGGGTTGTGTGCCTTGGACTGAGGTTGTATGCTGCGGAAGGGTGCTCGGTCGAGACAAGAATGTATACGTTGAGGGTTTGAGGCGAGGTAAGAGAAACTTGCTTTATTACAAAATGTGTACATGGTTGGCCGAAGTCGA